TTCCCTGAAACCCCTGAGGGGTCATCATACGTCGGCTGCAGCTTGAGAGCACTTTCCACCACCGGACCATGGCCAGATGACAAGCTAAGCCATATCTATTTCTAATTCCCCGGCATTCGTATACAAACATGGACACAGGCCCATTAATATGGTCTTGTGCAATACAAAGAATTCTACGGCTTGCGCCAGGCAGGCTCCCCGTATTCTGTTTCCCCCTCTACAGCTGGCTTTCTCTCTTGCGATAACAGCACTCATGTTCTAAACTTCCGGGAAATTTTAAAAGACTGCAAGATGAATAGGCTCTTCTTACTGGAAAGTTTCCCAAATAGTTAAGAGTATTATAAGAACCCTCATTTGGCAGAAGTTTACTCTGCAGAGTACTTAGTAGAATGATTAATTCAACCCGGTTATTGACTGTGCATAAAAGGGTACTCATATTTTGGATGGCGGGGCATTTAAGGACCAGTTCCAAAAAATCCAGTAAAAGCTGGTGTGTGTATGGGTGTGTGTGTGTCTCTGACTCCATGGATAACATTGCTGAGGGAGAGATGGATGAAAAAAGAACTTTTTTCTGTTTGGTTTTCAATGTTACCATGTTTTACCTGGAGACTTGTACTTGAGTATGAAGTAACCATCAGGCACTAAAAGAACATTGTGTCCAGATCACGGGAGGTCAAGTCAAGTCAAGTCATTTATTGTATTTAGCCATTGGCCATTACAAAATACAAAATACAGCAGAGGTGGTAGTTCCGCTCTATTCTGCTATGGTCAGGCCTCACCTGGAGTACTGTGTCCAGTTTTGGGCACCACATTTTAGGAAGGATGTTGACAAGCTCAAGTGTGTCCAGAAGAGGGCAACCAGGATGGTGAGAGGGTTGGAATCCAAGTTTTATGAGGAAAGGCTGAAAGAGTTGGGTCTGTTTAGCCTGGGAAAGAGAAGGCTTAGAGGGGACATGATTGCAGTCTTCAAGTATTTGAAGGGCTGTCATGTAGAAGATGGAGGAGATCGATTCTCTCTTGCTCCAGATTGCAAGACTAGATCTAATGGGTGGAAATTACAAGGGAGTCGTTACCGGCTAAATATCAGGAGAAACTTCCTAACTGTAAGAGTGGTTGAGCAGTGGAACAGACTGCCTCGGGAGGTGGTGGATGCTCCTTCGCTGGATGTTTTCAGGCGGAGGCTGGAGGACCATCTTTCGGGTATGTTGTAGTGCTATCTTTCGGCTATGCTCCTGCAGAGTGCAGGGGGTTGGACTAGATGACCTGCAAGGTCTCTTCCAGCTCTAACATTCTATGATTCATATCAAGAAGCCAAGGAGGGTACTGGCAGTCCAACTGTATGTTCAAGCTATTTTATGTTATTTCCTACATGCTTAATTTGTTTACATTCTAGTTTTTTCATAGAGACTCAAGGTGGATTACAGGACATAAAATAATGCAATCAGCATTAGATAATCTGTGAATGATGCAACAGAAGTATGATTACAGAATTAGAGAACAACGCAAAAAACAAACTACAATTTATCTAAAGCAAGGTATATTATAAACAATACGGACAAGTAAAAAACTTGGTGGACCAAAAATAATGAGAATCGGCCCACAGTGCATCAAGCAATTGTGTAACTGTAGGGAAGCCCATGTGGTGGATTTAAGAGCTCTACAGTGGAACGGAAATCTGTTATTTATATCAATAGCCCTTGTTCTCCATTTTATATGGAGATTTCTACAAAATGTCTACAAAATAAAAAGACGGAACTAGCTAGGCTGCATTCTGTGAATATGACCTGAATGGACTTAGCTGATAAGAAAGTCTGAAATGGTACCAATTTTTCTGGCTGAACACTAATGAGTCTGTCAGTCAGGACTGGAAAAGTCTACTGGCTCAAAGGAATGTGAAATAAACAGGCATCTAAGAAGTTAAACCCTTTCTCAATTTCTCAATAAATATATTTATTGTATACATAAAATTCTGGTTCAATGTGTGTGTGTGTGTGTGTGTGTGTGTATATATATATATATAATATGTATTTTACCTTGTAGTTGAAAATACTTACTTCTGAGGAAGTGTATTATCAAAACGAAGAAGTAGTCTGGAATCTTCGTTAATTGGACCTTGAAATTTTATACTTCTATGTAGAGTGGATTCTTTATACTTACCTCTGAATTCTACTATTAGTGTTTGTATTTGATGTATAATTGTACTTACGATTACTTTTGCTTAGATGCTCTTACACACATAATTGTATCTTGTACCTTTAATAGACATTGTTGCAAATAGCGCCTTCCCTGGTTGTTTCTTGGCGTTTCCTTGTTAATCCATGTTCCATTTTTCTGTAGGTGAGGTGATCAATCTTGTCCCAATCATGACTTCTCATTTTTTGGCTGATGTTAATGTGCAGGGAAAACAGCTCCTTGTCTGTGGAAGCAAGTTCTCTGCGGGTAATATGGATTCTCTCACATAAGAGAGACTGTACTAGATGGTCATAGATGCGGTTAGCCTGTGGAGTTTTGAAGATTTTTGTTGTTGTGAGAAAGGATGGAATGGTTCTTGTATTCCTGCAGCATAGCAGAAAAGTTAAAGAACAAAGTAGATGTGCTTTCTTGTTCCAAAGTGTTTCCAGTCTCCGGATGTGTTGAAATGTACCTATGAACATCCTCAAGATGCGGAGTAGGTGAAGAGGCTGAAGGCTGCCAAGCTGGGTTGCTTAGTCCAGAACATTAGGAGGCTATTAGCCACAAGGTATAGATAGGGGCTCCGGGGCAAGTGATGTATTTTTGGTGTTAGAGGGGGTCAACAGTGTGAGGGCTCCTAGTGTCCTGGCCCCACTGATGGACCTCTGCTCCAGATGCTTATCTACTGGTATTTTTGGCCACTGTGTGACAGTGTGTTGGACTGGATGGGCCATTGGCCTGATCCAACATTGGTTTCTTTTATGTTCTTATGTCTGGGGCAAGTAATGCTCTGTATTTTTGGTGTTAGAGGGGGTCAACAGTGTGAGGGCTCCTAGTGTCCTGGCCCCACTGATGGACCTCCTGATGGCACCTGGTATTTTCTGGCCACTGTGTGTCACAGGGTGTTGGACTGGATGGGCCACTGGCCTGATCCAACCCTGGCTTCTTATGTTCCTTAGATCCTCTTACGCATTTCCGAATTTAGGAGAGCAACATTTCACCTCCTAAGGTTCTCTGCGGGGTGGGTTAGCACATGCTGAGGCCCTAAATTGAAGAGGGGGGGGGAAGGTAATTTATGTAGGGATGTATTAAAAGGTAACAGCGTTCCGTGCGCCTTGGTGTTTAGTCATGCCGGCCACATGACCACGGAAACGTCTTCGGACAGCGCTGGCTCTTCGGCTTTGAAACGGAGATGAGCACCGCAACCCTAGAGTCGGACTCGACTGGCTTTCGAGCAAGGGAACCTTTACCTTTACTAAAAGGGAGCCCATGCAAGTCAATTGGCATCATGCTTACGTGATCTGGAAGTGACGTAGGCATGTCAGGGGCATCGGGGGTGACACTCTAGTTTGGGGGCAAAAGCTAAGTCTACCATAGAATTCCCCCCCCAACAGAGCGTCACTTCCCAATGCCACCAACATGCGTACATTACTTCCGGGTCACATATGCATGTCACTGAAATGCTGGGCATTCCTCCGTGCTCCCGGTAAGTGCACTCCCTATCCCTATCCCCCGTGGCCTTTAATGACCCGTGACTGCATTTCCGTGCCTAGCAGGCATTTGCAAGCCGTTAACAGGCGAGAAGAAACAACCCAAAAAACCCCAACAACCAACCCCCAAATCCTCTCTGGGAAACAGTAAAGCTCTTCCCTAGGAGGACGCGTCGCCCCTTGCCATGCTGCGCGTTTCCTCAAAAAAAGCGTCTCCCGGTTTCTTCCCCAAGCAAGTTCAGGTCCCGCCGGGCAGTGTTCCCTCTAAGCTGACTTAGTGTGAGCAGGCTCACAGTTTTTTAGCCTGCAGCTCAGACATTTTCATCTTAGCTCAGGAAGGAGGGCTCCAGAGCAGTGTTCCCTCTAAGCTGAGTTAGTGTGAGCCGGCTCACAGTTTTTTAGCCTCCGGCTCACACATTTTTGTCTTAGCTCAGGAAGGATGGGGCTCCAGAGCAAACTAATTTGTGCAGGAGCCAAATTGCTCGCTCACCACATTAATGCCAGGAGCCCACAAAGTAGAATTTTTGCTCACAGGACTCCATAGCTTAGAGGGAACATTGCTCCAGAGCAAACTGATTTATGCAGCAGCCAAATTGCTCGCTCACGACTTGAATGCCAGGAGCTCACAAAGTAGAATTTCTGCTCGCGAGACGCCACGGCTTAGAGGGAGCATCGGTCCCGGGGTTCAAACCCTCCGCGGTGCCAACGGCGGGGCTGCCGGCCGCGGCTTCACAAGGACACGGAGCGCAGGCGCGAGGGTCAAGGCACTCAAGGTGCCTCTTCTCCGCGCCCCGCCCCCTCGGCCGCCCCGCACTGCGCCGGCGCGCCCGTCCCGGCCAATCGGGTCTCCCCTGCGCGTGGCCCCGCCCCTCTCCCTCTGGCCGACGCGGGGGTCACGGGGGCGGCGGCGGGAGGCGTCTGGCGGATGGGGCCGGCGGAGGGGCCCGGGTGGCGCGGCTCCGGGGTCGGCGTCCCCCACCCCCTGTCACGATGAGGCGCGGCGAGCGGCGGGGCCACGCAGGCGGGCCCGGCAAGGCGGCGCTGGAGGAGCAGCCACCCGACCTCGGCGCCCTTCCCGGGA